CTTTGTATTAAAATGGTAAACGGGGTGTTGTCAGTCAAAATAAATGATAGGGTGCTCCATATTGTGGAATCTCCACAAGTGGAGGAATTATATGCAGGTTTTTTTATATTTTTCCTTGGATAACGTGTATTGAAAAAACTAGTACCTATAGAAAAAGAATATACTAGGTATAAGAAAAGGCTAGAAATTTATTTACACCGGTAAAAGCATAGAAATTAAATATAAATAGGTAAAAACACATTTCAAAAATTATAGGTTACGAACAAGTAAACAAATGTCAAATGTTAGAAACCTAACCATGGTTATATGAATTAACTGTGACGTCATGACTTATTTAACCGTAGTATTACATATAGTAAATTTAAAAGTAAACTACGTACACGTCATCAATAAAACAAAAATTTTACGCATTGGTACCAACACTAAATGACTAAATTGAAGTCTGTAATTGAATATTTGAATGCATTTTAAACATCTACAGTTGGCAACAATTAAGATGTTGTCATATTTACATTCAAATATTTCATATTTAAATGACACATAAAAAAGAATTTGACGTTTTAGAATTTCGAAGCTGTCAGTTGTGTTTTCGAATAATTCGTGTATTTGTGCGTTTATTTTGTTTGTTGTTTGTGTTATTTTATATCGTTTAAGTTTTCATTGCCGTTTTTGTGTTTGTTATATATCGTTTTTTTGTGTTTCCTATATTTAAAATGCCGAAGCATTTAAATAGTCGGAGTCAAGAGTTGGTGTCATCCTTAATACGCTATTTTGAGGCAGAACGGGATAATAATGGACCTTTGTTACCTTTAACAGCTGTTAGAAAGGTAAATAGGATTATTATTAATTATATATTAGAATATTTAACAAAATATATGTTGGATACATAAAATAATAATATATATACCAGAGACTGACTTTAGATGGCAAAATTTTTGGGTTTTATATCGGAAAATGTCTTTAAAAATGGCTAAAAACATACTTTTGGCGGTGCATCATATAGGTTATAAAAACTCAGACTTTTGACATTTTGGTATTATTCATGTAAACGCCATCTATCGCCCTGTAGTTGTACTACCACTTTCCCTTGATGCAAGGATTTTAGCATCACATTGACAACCGTGTCCGATCAGCTGATTGATGACGTGTACGTAGTTTACTTTTAAATTTACTATAAGTCGTTTTTTCGCGTAAATACTATGTAATACTACGGTTAAATAAGTCATGACGTCACAGTTAATTCATATAACCATGGTTAGGTTTCTAACATTTGACATTTGTTTACTTGTTCATAACCTATAATTTTTGAAATGTGTTTTTACCTATTTATATTTAATTTCTATGCTTTTACCGGTGTAAATAAATTTCTTTGCCTCTTTTTATACCTAGTATATTCTTTTTCTATTGGTACTAGTTTTTTGGAATATGGAGCACCCTATCATTTATTTTTACTGACAACACCCCGTTTACCATTTTAATACAAAGTTTAAATTGGGTTTAAGAGCTTAAAATATTTTAAATTTCAAATGTAAACAACTTCTTAACAGATCGAAACAGAGAAAAATATATATTAAAAAGAGAAAGACTATTAACCACGTTGAATAACTAGCTCAGCGATATAGTTTTATGGTCTGGTATTTGTGACGTCATAGTTAGGATTTTTGAACGCACTCTAAACGCAAAAATGCCTTAACTATTAACCACGGTTAAGTTTAATAACCATAGTATTTCATGGTATTTACGCGAAAAAACGACTATAGTATTTACGCGAAAAAACGACTTAAGTCTTTTAAAAATATTGTGCAAAATGGATTAAAAAGAAAGTTAATAACCTTTTCTTATGGTAAATAAGTAATTTTCATATTTTCATAAATGCATATCTGAACGGTGAGTTGATTAGCAAATGAATTGCATTAAATACAGATCGTGATCGCTAAATCGTGTTTCCTTTGAAAGTGAAACCATTTTTAATAGTATGTGATTACCTATGTACATTTTGCATATTAGTAGCTTTCTTTGTTTATTTATTTATTTATTTTATGGATTTATAACGATCGTAAAGGCTTGGATATTGATAATAAACACGCTTCATTTGCAGCAAATTGTTTCCTCATTTCCATAACAGAACGTTTTATAATTCAAGATACATACACGTTTTATAATTCGGAATTGCCAACTGTGTAAAAGAACTATCCCAAAGCGCGCCAAGATCAAAATAATAATAATTTTCTACTTAAAAAAAATAACCTAAAACATTTTTTCGCGGCTACAACGTTGTTCCAACAAATACAAAACCTGTTTTATTCATACATATAAGCATTCCATTTCATTTTTTTAGGGCATAAAGTTTGAGTGCAGTAACTGCACTGCAGTTATAAGGAAGGTAATAAACATGAATTTCATTCTCTAGTAACAACTTTTACACATCCTCTGATTAGTATTCAAAACAATGGTGCAACAGAAAGGCGTAAAAAACAAACAGGAGGTTTCTAAACAGTATCGAGGAATGATTATTATTATTTAACAAACGAGGCAAACAAAGGTTTTAAATATTTTTTCTTTCTTTCTCCACTTCACTAATAGGAACAAAATGAACAAACGAGATAATAAGATTAGCGTTTTATTTTGTTGGTATTGAAAGCGCTGCTATGCGTGCTAGATTTTGAGCGTGTTAAATCAAAATATGGAAATACGAGGTTCAATGAACGCATTAATGGAGACATAAAATTGAGTGTCAAAAAACTCCAAGTCGATATTATTATGATATACCTAATCATATACTATAATAATAATAATAATAATAATAAACAGGGGTGTTAATGGTTGCCAGGTTTCCTGGGGATATATAAAATAAAATAAAATCACATAAAATCACCTAAAACATAAAATCATTTTTAATAAGTGTATCCACTTATATATTGTTAGTCATACCCTTATTAGCATTGTAAATGTAATAAACCCACTCTTTGTATTTCCTGTACGTATTTATGTGAACAAATTAAATTTTAATTGTTGTAATTATTAGATTTGATATTACAACTTTAATTTACAAGAAAAAACTTTAATTGTGCTATTTTGACGTTGGCGTGAACGTGTGAACTTTATTTCAAAGACATTTTTTTAAAACTGAGTAATAGAAGGGATGATACTACTGTTTTTTATTAAAAAAATTATGAAATTTTATGTATATTTATACGACGTGTGTTCAGAAAATATCGGGAATTTTCGTTTTGTGAAAAAAATATTTATTTATTCGTCTACATTAAAGTTGTTGCCTTCAAAACAGTCCCCATTGGATATTATGCACATGTGCCAGCTCTTCTTCCAATACTCGAAACACTTCTAAAACTCGATCTTTGAGATAGCCTTTAGTCCTTTCAGCGATGCGCTTTTAATGTCATCTATGCTTGCAAAACGACGGCCCTTTATAAGGTTCTCTTTATTTTTGGGAATAGGAAAAAGTCAGACAGAGGCATGTCTGGCGAATATGGAGGCTGGGGCATCATTACAGTATTGTTTTTGTCCAAAAATTTTGTTCAAAATTTAACAATTTTAGAACAAATTTTGCTGCCACGCGTTTCATACCCAAAACATTCGAAAAAATTTCATGGGATGAGCCAATCGATATACCAACATCATCAGCGACTTCTCTGATGGTTTATATCCATTTCTTCCACTTTTTCCATGTTTTTATCGGTTGTTAATGTGCTTGGGCGTTCGGGGCGTTCGTCATCTTCAACGTCTTCTCGGCCATCTTGGAAACTCTTATACCACTTGTAAACTCTTGTTTTACTTATAGCAGACTCACTATAGGCCTTTGTTAACATTTCACAGAATTTATTTCATTTTTTAAGCAAATTCTTTGATCCATTTCTTTTAACGAACGAAAAATCGCCGAGCTCATAAAAACACGTCTAACCTTAGCGGCTGCCGCAGACAAAGTAAACAATGAAAACAGCTAAAGTTTTATTTATACTTCGGGGGCATGTATACCAACATAATAAAGAAAATTGTATGACAACCGGACCCTCCGAACCCGCGAACTATAGTTGAACATTTACTATGATTTTGTAGAACACTTAAAAAATAGCTACATGAGCATCAATTGACGTAAAAAGTGAAAGGTGAAATTTAAAATCGACGGTAAAACCACGGAAACCTCGAGATACTACGAGATAATTGAAAACTGCCCTTACATGCTTAAATTACAAGAATGGTAGGACAAATTCGTACAGTGGGATAAATTTAAAAAAAATTTCAAATGTTTTAAACAGTTTAAATTAAATTTTGCGAAATCCATACTTTCGATTTTAAATTCGATTTCAAATATTTATTTTCGGTTGACGCGTTGTCCACTTACTGAATTTATTTAATTTTCGCCTGGCAAAAGCGTGTGAGCGGTGCCAGACTATAAATATCGAATAAATCAAATTGCGTACACACACTTATCGCTACGTAACCGCCCATCTAAATCTGAAAAACGATCACACGTCTATTAAATAAAGGTCGCGGCGGAGGTGGCTACGTCAATCCCGAATAAACAAATAAGAATCGGCATCGTTTGTTTGTTTATACTTAAAAATTATAAAATGTTATAATGGTTATGCAAAAAATACAAATACATGCCACATTCGAACAAAAACAAAAAGTATATCCAAAATGCGTTCTGACAAATTATTTAGTTCCAAAAAAACCTAAAATTTTAAAAATCGTGTATTTTTTTTAATTTATGTTACTGTGCGAGTTTGTCCCACCATTTTTTAAATTTATCCCAAAGTGCGAATTTATTCTACGATTTTTTATATTTATGCCACAGTGCGAATTTGTCCCATAATTTTTAAATTTATCCTACTGTACGAAGTTGTCCTACCATTTTTTAAATTTATGTATGTAAGAGCAGTTTTCAATTATCCAATTACTGTTTCAATAAATCACTCTAATAACGACACTTCATTTTAGTTACGAGTTATCTTCGTCACTTGGTCAATTTCAAAAGAAAAATTATTGAAAACAAAAAATAACAATACCAAGAATGTTTGATAAGAGTAATATTTTATTTATTTCAACTTTTCGGGTCAACTTAAAACTTGATAAATTTGAGCTTATAAAAGAAGTTCGCATATTTGAAGCCACGCAGTCTAATTTTTTAGAAATATATACAAACATGAAAGTGATTTTGGTACTCTCAGCCTTCCTGGTCGTGGTCCTCAATGGTAAGACCAACAAATTGTGTTTAATTTTCTTAAAAAATGTTTAACCTTTCCAATTTAACTAAAATTTTACTTGGAGGAACCGTTTTAGGTTTTAGGTCTAAATATTTAATATAGAGGGTGTTAAAAAGGGTAAAATATTTTTACTATAATAGTAATTTGAATAAACATTAATAAAAAAAAACGTTTGTAATAATAAATTTGTAAATTTTTGATTGCTGGAATTGAAAATTAAATGTTGTGTTTTGGTTTTAGGTTAAGTTTTTTGACATTCTTTTTAGTTTGTCTTTTAATCTACTAAAGCTCTTCTATGATTGGCTACTTTATTTAATTAACAACTACTCTCTAAAAATGAATTAGTCAAAAATGACTACTTACTACAGTTATTAGTGGCTGCTTTTTCACTTATACCATGGTTAACCATGGTATGCCCAACAGTTAATAGCCAATTTTTGAGTAAAATTGTCCCCTGAATCCAAAAATAAAAGTTATGAAAGTAGAGCAGTTTTTGAGATATAGTCAATACCATATTATATGGAAAATTGACTATATCTCAAAAACTGTTTTACTTTTATAACTTTTGATGACATTTTTAGATTCAGGGGACATTGACAAGAATTATTATAATATATAGTGGCTGCTTTTTCGCTATGACAATTACTTATTTTTGACTAATTAATTTGAGGGTCAGATCAAAAAACGCCAGGACTTTTCGTCTTCTTTTTGGCTTTCCTTTACGCACTGGAAATATTTTATTCTGTTTTTAACACCCTGTATAATGAATTTTATAAAAGTTATCGTAATTATCATATACCTAGTTTAATTTATTTGTTTATTTTCGTTAAAATTTGGTGCCGATAATAGGAACCGATAAAGTTACAAACGATTATTGGGTCTTAAGATATCAATAGATATGTATACAAATTGGAAAAATTAAATACTTTATTTTTCAGGCACTTACCCAGGAGTTTAGTCTTTTTAGAGACAAATACATGGCCGTCCACGAAAAATGCCAGGCCGACCTTAAACACGAAAAACTCAAAGCCTACTTCCTTTGCATGCACGAAGGATTTGAGTTTATCACCGCTGACAACGTAATCAACGAAGAAAAATTTAAGGCCAAGTGGGCCTTAATGCACAGTGAACCTGAAACCCTGGAAAAGTTAAAAAAAATGTTTGGTGAAGAAGGACACAGCTGTCGAGACCTCCTGGGCTATGCTACAATGCGAAATGACTGTTGCGAGGGAGGTTTGATAAGTCAGTGACTTTTTGAATAAAGAAAATTTTTTCGGCAAATAAACGTTTTATTTCTCAATATAGTAAAAAAACAATTTGCTTACAATTTTTTTTATATTTAAGACTAGTATTTAATTTGTTCAATATTGATAGTAATAAAATAAAAAATATAATTTTTTTATTTAGACAAATTTTATTTTATATTTTCTTACTATCAAATTACCACTATTATTATTAGAGTCGTGAACTTTTGTATGTTCCAAACTTTTTTAAATTTGATTGATTAATAAATATTTATTAACAGTTACCTACTCATATTTAATAAATAAATGAATTGTTTCCAAATAAATTAATTTATTGTTAGTTAATAAATTTTTCTATCAGTGCATAATTAAATAAAAAAAAACTAAATTTAACCCAGTTTTTTAGCAATTTTACACTGTTTCTTTCTGAAAAAAATTACGTAATATTTGCTGAGACCACCCTCCCCCCACGTGAGATTAGGTGAGGTTTGGCTCGACCTCCCCCCCCCAAACACCTCACGTAACTAATGGATGTCCCCTAACTTAAACATAACTTCAGCCCGCGACTAAAAACCTGTTGGTAACAACCCGTGACTAAAAAACCGTTTAAAACCTATCAGATTGATTTTTTTGTTGGAAACAATTCAAACTCTTCTGATACGTTGTGACGTCACTTCTGTTCTCCTCAACGCGCCAAAAGTATTATATGTTTAACTTAGGTATTTTTGTTTTGAATTCGCTGTCTTCATTTTGTTTTCATTCCAATTTAATAACATAGTTATTTTCCTTGTTGTTCGATATATTACCATTATCATTAAATTCTATAATTTCCATAGAAATATTTAAGACAAATAAAGTAACCTTGACCAATTGCTGATTTTGAAAAATAAACATTTATGTTTATAAACATAAATCAAACTTTAAATCAATCATTGAAAAAATTATTAAAGACCTAAACAACAACGTTCAAACAAAAAGTACATGTAACTTGTTTGTTTGATAAGAGAATCCGAAACACGCAATATTTTAGTTATTTTATCTCAAAACTTGATATATTTGAGTCTATAAAAGAAGTGCGCACATTTAAATAATCATAGTGAGAAATATCCGCAAACATGAAATTGATTTTGATACTCTCAGCGCTTCTTGTTGTGGCTGTGGCCGCTCCAAAGGTAAGGCTAACAATTTTTTTTTGTTTTCTTAAAAAATGTTTAACCTTTCCAATAAAAATCAAATTTTACTGAAAAAATCCGTTTTAATTTTATATGTCTGTCAATATTAGTACCATAATATTTAATATGCAGGGTGTTAAAAAAAGGGTAAAATATATGTAGGGCGTATTATACTGTAATAGTGGAGCACCTAATTTGAAAACAAATTAATAAAAAACGTTTGCAATAATAAAAATCTCAAAAAATTGCGTTACGTAATACTTGAACGCTCCCAAAGTTAAATACTTTATTTATTTTCCAGGGACTTTCCCAGGATGGGTTTTGTCTTTTTAAAGGCAAACTCAAGGCCGTCCACGAGAAATGCCAGGCCGACCCCAAGACTGCTGCCGACAACGACTTGGTGAACAAAGTGTACGACGGGGTCTTCACAGACGACGAAAAACTCAAAGCGTCTACGAAGGCTTGGAGTTTATCACTGCTGACAACGTGATCAACGAAGAGAAAATGAAGGCCAAATGGGCCTCAATGCACAGCGAAGCTGAAATCCAAAAAGAGTTTCAAAAATGTTTGGTGAAGAAGGAAACAGCTGTAGAGACCAGCTGGGCCATGATACAATGCGAATTGACTGTTCGGGTGCAAATATTTATCAATAATTTTTATTAAATAAATAACCTATTTGTAAAGATTTTGTTTTCTTGTTACCTACGAGGGAGATTTGATAAGTCGGTGACTTTTTGAATAAAGACATTTTTTCGGCAAATAAACATTTTATTTCTCAACATACACTCACAGGCAAAATAATCGATTCACACAAGTTTTCGATAAATTTCAATCACAAATAACTTTTTACCATAAGTTTAAGACACTCTGTAGAGTGGCAAACCCGTATATTGTTCTAAATTAAGTTTAATTTATCAAGTCACATCTATTCTTAACAGTTTTGTTTTTGGTTCACCTCGATATATTTATTTTTGTGGAAAATATGGATTTTAAAAAAAAAACATTGCAATTTTCAATATTTTTCTGTATGAATAACTAAGGTTGCTATGGTCCATCCATAGGCTATGGAGAATGACAGTGACAGTTTTGTTGAATCATCCCATACTTGGACATGTCATACACGGCTTTCAAAAGCTATCAAATTGTTTTTTGCAAATTAATGTTTAAATTTTGAGGTGTCTTCTTACTTTAAAAAATGGATATGTCTCCGACTGATGTTGCCAGAGCCATTAATTTAATCCAGGATGGACGGTCACAGTATTACATGGCAAGTGTTTTAAACGTCACAAGAAGTAAAGTACAAAGGGTATCATCAATCGGAGACATTTTTAAAAGTAAGAAGACACCTCAAAATTAACACATTAATTTACAAAAAACAATTTGATAGCTTTTGAAAGCTGTATATGACATGTCCAAGTATGGGATGATTCAACAAAACTGTCACTGTCATCCTCCATAGGCTGTGGATGGACCATAGCAACCTTAGTTCTTCATACAGGAAAAATATTGGAAATTAATTTAGAAGAATATACGGTTTTGCCACTCTTCAGAGTGTCTTATAAACTTATGGTAAAAAACATATTTTTGTTAAAACCTGTATATTATAAAAGTACGTCTATTTTTAAGTAATTTTTAAAATGTGAGCAATTCTCCATTAATGTATCTACAATGTTCTTTAATATTTGTTTAAATCCGAAATCAAATAAAAAAGTTATTTGCGATTGAAATTCATCGAAAATTTGTGTGGATCGATTATTTTGCCTGTGAGTGTAGTCACAGGGGGCTAAATCTGGAAAATATTCTGGATGGAAATTCAAAAGTCACTGGCTTATTAAACCACCCTCGTACCTATCGGTGTACTGGTCATAATTTGCATAATTTATCATTATAAAAAGGTTAAAAAGTACATTATGTATCAAGTTTGATAAACGCCATTTTATACACGAATTTAATTTAGGTACGAGCGAGCTTGCGAGCGAGTGCTTAAATTAATAAGTGAATAGAAAAGTTTATAAACGAGGTGCAAACTATACTTTTTCTACGACAAATACTTATTATCTTAAAATGATTTAAATCAAAAATTTGTATAGAGCGCCATCTATGAAACACTATGATAATCTGTGTGTCACCGCCAAATGTCAAATTTTTAAAATTTAAATCTTAAACACAGATTATAAAGGTTATAAATCGAAATGTATTTCTTAAAAATTGACAGTTTTTCACAGTGAAAGTAAAGAAAATGTTTTATGAGCACTTTACAGTGGAGTCCGTGCCCGAATTTAAGTTATAGTTTACTGCCGGCGAAATTAAAAGGTCAGTACAATGTTTATATAAACTTTTCAAATATTGGCGTTGAGAAACTATTTAATACTTTTGTATTTTTGTATTGAGATAATAAAATAATTTTCACATTTAGTATTATTTTAGCGATTGTATGACATTTAACAACTGTCAACTAACTTAAAACTAACTTCAGCCCGTGACTAAAAACCTGTTGCTAACTTCAGCCCGTGACTAAAGCGCCATAAAACCACAACTTGTCAATGTGTATTTTAAAGGTCACTTAGTGTCATGGAAACATGTACGATAAAGGGCGTTTTAAAGGTGAGAGTAGAAAAAAGAAATTATAATTATACGATCCATAACATTTCCATGTTTTAAAAAAGAGATTAAATTTTAAAATTTATAATCCAAAGTTGCAATTTTGTGCATATAAAATAAGTGATTTTCTTGTTGTGGCTTTGACCTCTCCAATGATAAAGTTGTTATTAAACAAAATTTTTAAAAACAGGAAATTATGTTTTTCTGGAAGTTTTGAACATTTTTTAAGAGGGAATTCTCTCAATCAAACCCAACCGAAACTATAAGAAACCTTCGTGAAAAAGTGTGCGAAAATTTCACCCATGTTAAAAACTTAAATCTGCTTATCAGTTACTCTAATTTTTACATACATATAAGTATTTGCTGTATTAATATTTACTATGACTAAAAAACATAACAACATCAAAACAATGTATGGAAAGTTCTCGTATAATTGATAGCAGGGTCCAAATTCACGTTAATCTTTTATTTTTTTCGGTTTATCACATTGTGTAATAAAGGTTGAAATCTAAGTATAAAAGAAGTAAGCTTCTTTGGAGCTGCACAGTTTAATTTGTTCGAAATATCTGTTAACATGAAAGTGATTTTGGTACTCTCCGCCCTTCTTGTTGTGGCTTTGGCCGCTCCAAATGTAAGTTTAACAATTTAAATGTTTGTTTAATGTTTCTTGTAAATGTTCACTTTTGTATCTTCTACTAAACCTTATAAGAAATTGCATGTCTATTAATATGGTTCCAAATATTATGTTCTCAAAAATAATTTCTCAGAAAAAATTTCTCATTGCAAACATTTCTCAAAACAAAAATGTCTCAAAACCACAAATTTCCAAAGCAAAATTTCTCACAAATGACTTTGATACAAAAATTTCCTAAAGCAAAAAATTATCAAGGCAAAAATTTATCAAGTAATATTCAAAAGCTATAAGAATTTCTTAAAGCAAAAATAAGATTAAAATGTATCTCCAAAAATTACTGATATATTTTGAGATTTTTTCATAAATATTAAAAACTTATGATCTTTCAGAATGTTAATATTACTAAGAAATTTTGTCCTAAGAAATTATTATCTATTAAGATAGGTCAAAAATCTTTCAAGTATTTAAATAATTTAATAATATTTTAGTTCAAATACTGCAATATCAAAAATACATAACAAACTATAAAGCATTTTTTACAAAGGTTATCATAATAATTATGATAACCTGATGAATGATAATTATTATCATTCAGTTTTATTTATTCGTTTGATTTTGAAATCATTCGGTTCTTACAAAACTTGTTATCAATAAAAAATTTCATAAAATACAATTTTAAAACGACTTTACAAAGAAGAAGAAATATTGGTTACTTCTGTATTAAACAATATTATTTCCATTTCCATCAATTTTTGCAATAATGTCAAACTATCATTTTATTTGGGCAGAAATATGAGGCGCCGTTTGTCCGTAAATTATTTTTGCTATATATAAGAATATTTTTTATATATAAACTTTAAATTTCCTATATTATATAGAAACTTTTTAGTTCAGATAATGCCGCTTGAGAATGAGGGCGCTTTGCGGTTCCATCCACTGTTGCCAGAGTGTGCCAATGCAAAGTTTTGGTCAGTGTTTCCAACATAACGTTTCGCCAGATCGGGCAGATTTTAATAAAGGTCGAGGGAAAAAAGATACTCTTACGGCTGACGGATTTTTTAACGGAAACTTGAACATAATATCGAATAGTATTTGTACCTATATAATTTAATTTGTAAGAGTCCAAGTTAAAAAAAAAAGATTCTTTGTTTTTTTTATAAATTGACAAGAGAATCAAAACGTAAGAAATTTTAGTTTTTTTAAATAACTATTAGTAAAAACGAAGTCGTGTTTATTTAGAGAAATAGAGACGGCCAAAGAAGAGAAATGTTTTCTTCAATAAAAATAGACCAACCGACCAATATATTACCTATAAGTATTTAAAAAAACTAAAATCCTATAGGTACTTTTTGCTATCATTTTGTTCCGCTAGATCTGGCCGAAGATCCGTTATGTTGGAAACACTGACCAAAACTTTGCATTGGCAACAGTGCTTTTTAGTTGAATACCACAGAGCGCCCTCATTCTCAAGCGGCATTATCTGAACTAAAAAGTTTCTATATATATAAGAAATTTAAAGTTTATATATAAAAATTATTCTTATATTTATATAGCAAAAATAATTTACGGACAAACGGCGCCTCATACAGAAATCCTAAATAAATTTTTTATAAAATTATTTAGATTAAATTGATAAACTTAAATTTTTTATTATTTAAAAATAGTGTCAAGACATTTAAAATAAAAACACATATAAAACATTTTCTACCGTTAAAAAAGAAAAAAAAAATCTCAAATCAATTGATGATCATATATGTATACAAAATGCAAAAGTTTAAAATATTGGTTTTTAAAAAATTTAGTTTTAATAGTTTATTCTACAAAATTATTGGTTTAAATTTGTAGTCATTTAAATGATAGTCGATACATTTTTGATACAAAATTTCTCACATTGCATTTAAATGTTAGTTTTAAATTTTAAAGTGGTAATTTTTTAAATAAAAATGTATCATTTAAATGACTACAAATCAAAACCAATAACTTTTATTTTTAAATAATTTAAATTATTATTATATTTGTGTTAAAAATGTATTAATTTAAATATTATTTACATTACATTTAAATGTGGGTCGATAATTTTTAATTTACAAACGCGCCTTTAGTTAACTGCATATGCTGCTAAAGCTACCTTTACACACCGAAAAAAAAATCATGTAAATTTCCGGTAATGGAGTTTGGTTATTTTGATGCCTTGTTGATACCTAACTGAAATATTCCATTTCATTATTATTTTACATGTAAAATGTAATAGCATACCTAATTGACGTGTAACTCATTTATATTTTTTACGTAAAATAACATTTTTAATGTAGTATGTTTTTTATTTGAAATGTATTTATACATGATAACATTAGGTTCATTCCAACCGCAGTAATATTACTGACACACATGCGCATTAAAAAAACATAATATTATTTTAGGATTAAAAGTATTTTAAATTAATTTTAAACGAAATAGAGAATAAAATACAAAATAATTTCTTTTTAAATATTTTTTTCCTTTATTCTTACTTTTTTAAAAGCATGTTTAAATAATGAAAATACAAATGCGCATGTGTGTCAGTAATATTACTAAAAACTACTGCCGGTTGGAACTAACCTATTAACATGCCGATGCGTGGGCAGGCATGCGCTAATTCCCAGCCAATAGGCTTCTTCTCCGGTTACATATGAAATGTAATTTTGCGATTTTTACTACACTCCGAATGTTAAAAAACATTTAAACCTGTAATATTAAGACTAATAAAGTATATTTACATTTGAAATAATGCAGTAAGACGTTATAATTGTATTTTTTACATTTAGATCGTTAAATTTACTTGTATTAATAATTAATACATAACATTAGTAATTTTACAAACAAAAATGTTTATTTACTTGAAATATATAAAAATGAGACGAAAATAAAGGTAATTTTACAATTTGTCGTAAAAATTAGGAATTTATATGGTAATAATCCTGTAACTTTACATTTAAATGTAATAATTTTTTTCAGTGCACTTTGTAAATTAAAAATTATTGACTTGCATTAAAATGCAAGTTATAAATTTTGTGTTAAAAATGAATCGATTTAAAATTAAAAATAAAAAGTTTTGGTTTGAATTTGTGAAGAGTTATTTAATTGATGGTCAATAAATTTAAAACGAAAATTTTGTAGCATAACTTTTAAAGGTATTTTGAGCTAACCATCAACCTAAAATTTTGGAATCCATAAAAAATATACCCGCAGTTCAACACGATGTTAAACTTTTGGTAAATCAGTTTACTTTTAATAGCTTACCATTTTACGATTATGTTAAGTTTAATAACGTTGAATTTACCACACCAAAACCTAATATTCAAAGTCAACATATTGATGTTCAAAAATCTCAAAGTATTGTTCAAAATGTTGTTAGTCAAAAACCTTTGCGAAAAGTAATAAAGTCTATAATATTTTTAGATTTAATTTATAAAGGTAAAGGAGAGGTAAAGGTAAGCAAGTAATGCAAATAATGGGAAATTTGCTGTGTTGAAAGAAACGGCTCAGGGTACTAAAATATTTACAACATAATTACGGGTTTAGTCCCCACAAATATTTGAACTAAATCAATATTTTTAAGCTTAAAGTTTCATGTATAAAATTTTGATATCGAGTTAAAGAACACATAATTCCAGGGACTCACTCAAGAGCAAAAAGACCACATGAAGGCGGTCCACAAGAAATGCCAAGAAGACCCCAAGACCACAGCCGACGAGGACTTGGTCAAAAAAGTGCGCGACGGCATCTTCACCGAAGACGAAAAAGTCAAAATCCACATGCTCTGCATGCAACAAGGCTTCAACATCATCACCGCTGACGGCAAAGTGAACGAGGAGAAACTCAAGAGCAAATGGGCCGACCATTTCGACGCCGACAGCCAAGCAAAGTTGCAAAAGTGTTTGGTCAACAAGGACACTGCCGTAGAGACCTCCTGGGCTTTGTTGAAGTGCGAATGGGATGTCGTTGGTGAGCAAATCAAGGCTCATCGTGACGAACACGATCACCATCACCATTAAGTTTTATTGTTGCTTTATTAAATAAACAGTTTTTACACACATCTAACGTTTTTTACTGCTTTTAGCATCAACATTATAATTTCAAATAATCAATCATACTAATCATAAATGGTAAATTAAAATTCACGCTCAAGAGGAAATCAAACTGAAAAAAGACAGATATTGGACAGTCGTCCAACGCCAAAAAAAAGCAATATTCACAAACTTTTCAAATATCTTGGTACGAAACCTATGGCTATGCGGAAGTATTTATAAACAACCCAAGCAGCATTTTAAGTAAAAGCGTAGAGCTTTGAGGCAATATTATTTAATTTAAGTAAATATTTTGTTAAATTAACCTTAAAAATTTAATAAGTTTTATTTATGTTATTTTTACCTATTTTAATAACTCTTTAGTTTAAAGTATTATGAGGGACGTAATTTTTACGAAAGAAAATTACTTGTAAGTGTATTTTACCTAAAGAAAAATTTAAAGTTTTATTTTTTAATTTTACTCTAGGAGGGCCTTTATTACTTTGTAAGTACCATGTTGTGAAATATAAATTAAAATAACAAAGAAATTACGAATGTCAATATTTTAGAAAGAGAGAGCAAACAGTTGGTAATTATAGCGTTATATATACAGGGTGTTTTATAATATATGCGCAGGACTTCAGGATGTGATAGCTCATCCAAAAAGATGAAAAAAGTCGCTATTAACTTACGCTCTAAAATGCACAATTTTCGAGATACAGGGTGTTGAAATTTTAGAAAAAAAATCGTTTTTTTCGAATATCTCCGGAACCGTTTATCGTACAAAAAACAGCTTTTGTAAGCATTTTCTACTCAAAATAAGCTATGTTTTGTGCCAGAAAAAAATTTTTTTTCCTCATAATTGGTGGAGATTTTGAAGGGGTAGCGGGTGTTTTTCTCCTTAACTTCTACGCCCCTAAAAAAAGTACGGTTTTGAGAGGCTCATTCGAACCGCCAATGTTTTCTACAAGAAAAAGGTACTCTTGCTCATAAGCTCTAAACTTGACCGTTTTCGAGAAAAATCAACTTTTATGTTTAAAAACATGGACAATTTAAAAAAAAAATAATATTTTTTTAATAATTAAACAAAATTTATTTTAACATTAGAACAAGTAACAAAACCAAACCATAATTTCAAAATAAAAAATGATTCAAAAGTTGTCTTTGCTAAATTCTCCAAACCGTAAAGGTAACGCATTTCGCACATTTCAGCATTTGTGTAAAAAATCATTTTTTATTTTTTTTTTAATTTTGCAATTATCGTTTGGTTTTGTTACTTTTTCTAACGTTAAAATAAATTTTGTTTAATTAGTAATAAAAATTTTTTTTCAAAAAATTGACCATGTTTTTAAACATAAAAGTTGATTTTTCTCGAAAACGGTCAACTTTAGAGCTTATGACCAGAGTACCTTTTTTGTGTAGAAAACATTGACGGTTCGAATGAGCCTCTCGAAACCGTACTTTTTTCAGGGGCGTAGAAGTTGAGGAGAAAAACACCCGCTACCCCTTCAAAATCTCCAGCAATTATGAAGAAAAAAAATTTTTTCTGGCACAAAACATACCTTATTATGAGTAGAAAATGCTTACAAAAGCTGTTTTTTGTACCATAAACGGTTCCAGAGATAATCGAAAAAAACGATTTTTTTTCTAAAATTTCAACACCCTGTATCTCGAAAATTGTGCATTTTAGAGGGTAAGTTAATAGCGACTTTTTTCATCTTTTTGGTTAAGCTATCAGATCCTGAAGTCCTGCGCATATATTATGAAACACCCTGTATATTGTTTTTATTACGTTATTTTATTAGTAGATCATAAAGGTTATTATGTAGGTCAAATAACGAAATAACCATTCCCCCAAATTTGCTGATTTTTCGTATCTACCCTGATAGCACAGTTTATTCTAAGAATGTTTTTTAAACCGGTATCAGGGTATACCGTTATAAAACCGTAAAAAATACTATAAAGTTGACTTAGTAGTAAATTTGTAGTTATTTAAACTTAAATTGCTGCTTGGGAAAGCTAATTCTGTTGGCATTGTATTTTATTAGGCAGCGTCAAAAAAAATTGCAGTTCAGGGGGTGGGTATCCCGATTGCTCTGATATTTTATTTGTTTTATATGTATATAAATTTATTTATTAATATATATATATATATTTAACTTTAACCAGATATATGTAATATAACCTCTCCTATACACCCACGAGCCGCCACTGCACCGACTGCATCTTTTTGGAGCCCAGTATATCTCATCAAAACAAATTACGTTCCACAATCATAAATCTAAAGAAGCAATTAACTGTTTTTACAAAGCAAGCTGACTGAACTAGTAATTTCCTTAATTATTTCAGCACATTAACCGAAAATGAAAAATTAAACCTGTAATGATTGTACTTAGGCACACCTAGTCGTGTCAAATTGTACAAATTACTAGAAATCGTGTCTATCTTGAAAACTTCATTACCTCTTCTAATGCAAGTATCAATTAATCTTCTACCAGTAGTTAATTAAAAATCGATTTTTTTCTTAAAAATACTGTATAAAGTGATTTCCTATAGGAATTTGTATAATTTATTTATTTTTTCAGTTTAATTATAGGGTAAAGTAGACAGTTTATAGTTATTGGACAATTAACATTAATACTCGGCCATTCCAAGCCCATGGACAGGACACATCAGAAACATGTCTAAATATATTCTTGTTACTTCCTTAAGTTTACTTATTTTTTCTACGAGTATTTATGAGAAGTATTAGCCAAATTTGGCTAATACTTCTCATAAATACTCGTAGAAAAAAATAAGTAAACTTAAGGAAGTAACAAGAATATATTTAGACATGTTTCTGATGTGTCCTGTCCATGGGCTTGGAATGGCCGTACTGTAAAAACAAGAGTTCTATAAATAGTTACCTTAAAGTCAAATCATTAGATGACGCTGTAAACAATTATAACTATTTCAGTCGGTAATAATATAGAACTACTTTATTTGGGTCCAATATATGACAAAAAAGTTCGCACGTTACTTTGGTGGTAAGATTTTTGTTTTTTTGTTAAGAGCAGGTCTGTGTTTAAATTACAATAAAAAATATAAATGTGTTCCTTATGGTTTAAATATTGTCACTTTAATGCGTTTTAATTTTAATTCTGAAAACAAACAGTAAAATGGCCAGTGTCTAATTGAGGAGCGATCAGACAAAACCAGATAAATCCATTTTAGTGATTTGCAGAAATAAGTCAAAAGTAAACGAATTATTTTATTTTTGACATGTTTCCGCAAATCACTAAAATGGATTTATCTGGCTTTGTCTGATTGCTCCTCAATTACTGGTTGGTAAAAAATGTAAATTTCTATTATTGGACATATGTCCAATATCATACTCTATTTATATCCCGGACACGTACCAGCCAATTCCTATGTAAAATTGTCCCCTGAATCCGAAAAGACCATCAAAAACTATAAAAGTTAAACATTTTTTGAGATATAGTCAATTCCATATTTTATGTAAAATTGATTATGTTTTTCTGGAACTTTTGAACATTTTTTAAGAGGGAATCCTCCCAATCAAACCCAAACAAAACTATAAGAAACCTTGGTGAAAAAGTGTGCGAAAATTTCACCTATGTTAAAAACTTAAATCTGCTTATCAGTTACTCTAATTTTTACATATAAGTATTTGCTGTATTAATATTTACTATGACTAAAAAACATAACAACATCAAAACAATGTATGGAAAGTTCTCGTATAATTGATAGCAGGGTCCAAATTCACGTTTTATTTTTTTCGGTTTACCACATTGTGTAATAAAGGTTGAAATCTAAGTATAAAAGAAGTAAGCTTCTTTGGAGCTGCACAGTTTAATTTGTTCGAAATATCTGTTAACATGAAAGTGATTTTGGTACTCTCCGCCCTTCTTGTTGTGGCTTTGGCCGCTCCAAAGGTAAGTAATTTTTGTTTATTGTTTCTTGAAAAACTTAGTTTCAATGTTCATTTTTGTGGTTTCAAATCTTTTGATTTATGATTGCATAAATTTCTCAAAGCAATAAATTCTTATAACAAAAATTTCTTAAAACCACAAATTTCCAAATGGAAAATTTATCACTCAAGAATGTCTTCGATACAACCATTTCTTAAAGCAAAAATTATTGAGGAACAGTGTTTTTTTTGTTTTGAGGTTTTTTCATAAATATTAACAAGTTAGGATTTCTTTAACAAACAAAACAACCCCCAAGAAATTTGTTTATAATAATGTTATTATTTCTAAGAAATTTTGTCCTACGAAATTATTTTCTAAGCAACCAAGATCGGTCACCTATTATTATTGGTCAAAATTTCTTCGAAGTATTTAAATAATTTAATAATATTTTTAGTTCAAATACTGCACTATTAAAATACATAACAAACTATAAAGCATTATTTTGTTTTTACAAAGGTTATCATAATTACCATTCAGTTTTATTAATTCGTTTGATTTTGATATCATTCGGTTATTACAAAACTTGTTATCAATAAAAAATTTCATAAAATACAATTTTAAAACGTCTTTACAAAGAAGAAGAAATATTGGTTACTTCTGTATTAAACAATATTATTTCCAATCAATTTTTGCAATAATTTCAAACTATCATTTAATTTGGGCAGAAATCCTAAATAAATTTTTTATAAAATTATTTAGATTAAATTGATAAACTTAAATTTTTTATTATTTAAAAATAGTGTCAAGACATTTAAAATAAAAACACATATAAAACATTTTCTACCGTTAAAAAAGAAAAAAAAAATCTCAAAACAATTGATGATCATATAAAATGCAAATGTTAAAGTTTAAAATATTGGTTTTTAAAAAATTTAGTTTTAATATTTTATTCTACAAAATTATTGGTTTAAATTTGTAGTCATTGAAATGATAGTCGATACATTTTTTATACAAAATTTCTCAGATTGCATTTAAATGTTAGTTTTAAATTTTAAAGTAGTAATTTTTTAAATAAAA